ATTGTATTTTGGGCAATTTGTCCAAGTAGAGGTACCCTCGCACACATGCAAATGGGGAGTTGTTCTGAAAGTGACGGGCAGCTGAATCAATCAACTCAATATTAAAAATGATAAACGCACATTGGCTCGCTCAATGGGAAATTTAAGTATTAAAAAAATAACAAGACGGAACAGTCAACCGACATAAAGTATTATGCACATTGTGCAAGAATTTTCTTTTCACTGAAGCACTTCCAGCTTGAAATATCTCATTGACGTGAAGCAGACATTAGCTGGGGATGCTGCTAGGGCTAACGCGTCACCCAGCTTGCGACAGTACACTCGCGCAGCATCGGGGACTCAGTAAGTCTACCTCGGAAACATTGACTGACACAATTGCCAAGTGGATTGCAACAAACTGCAGACCTATTAATGTCGGTGAGAACACGCGCTTTACATAGCTTTGGTTCCTCGTTTCAAAGACTTGAAGTGCCTCCCCAAGAGTGACAGAGAGAGAGTGGATAAATGTTTTTTGTTAACACGAATGTTCAAGATGTTCAATAAACGTGTTAAGTTTGTATATTTCCCCTTTTTTCCCCGAGTCTGTTTGCACATGCAAATTGAAATGCAATTAATATGAATAAAAATGAATGATATTTAATCAGATTAATCAAAATTAATCCACAGTAACCCTGTGATGAATCTGATTAACCATTTTAATTGTTTGGCAGCACTAATATATATATTATATATTATTGTATGTTGAAGAAAACTATTCAAATTCTCTTTGAATTTAAGCACACATTCTTTGTGTTTACTCTGCATTTACTTCATTATATTGCATAAATGTCAGTTACAAGCTTAAATAGAAAGTTGAAAAAAAAAAACAGGCTATTGATCAAGTAAATAAAATACAAACATGAATTTCATGTGCATTATAGCCACTCTAGTAGTTTAATTTATTGCCTATATGCTTTTGTAGAATTTGTGTCTTGACTGACTTATTGGAGAGTAATATATATTTCCCTTTTTCAAGCCGATTTTCAGGGCTCTCCGTGTGTCCTTCATGGATCTAGATGGCAGGAGATGTAAAAACAGAACCAACCAGCTTGGCTCCTAATCTACCACACCTTTTGGAAAAGGTGCCAGCTGGAACCATTTCACTACAGCCTGGATGAGACAGTCTTTACTTGTGATTACCACCGACCAATCTAAGGCTGCGTTACTTCTTTCGTCTTTGTTACTGTGGCAGAACAAAAGACCTGAGTGACCATTGCATCATTGTGACACTACCACAGAAGACTGTGTCTGAAATCCGTCACTATAAAATGTATGGGATCACTACATGCTATTTAGTGGACTCATTCAACCCCACAATGCACTGCAAACAAGCCCAACACGGAAGAAGAAAAATGGCGAATATGAGAAAGGAAACAAACTGCCACAGAAGTATGTGCATTAATCATTACGGGAAATAAAATCCTTGGTGTAATATATATTTATCACAAAAATGCATGCCTGTATTTATTTAGTCGACACCTACCCATCATATTTGAGTAGCATAATCCTCTACACAGGACTCAATGAACATGTAACAAAGCGTAGTGAATGATTTCAGACACAGTCTAACGGACTGTAGAAACTATTTCTGGATCCAAGTCGATAAAGACTCAGAGTAGCTGTGAGATTCACTCAGACATGACTATTGCTGTGATGTATGAGGTGGAAATTGCTACTAAAAGCTAAACTGGGGAAACTGTGACATAGGTATCTATGTATATGTCGTTTTTTTAAAAAAAAGTGACGCTAATAAGAGGCATTACAGGCTCGATGCATACTTGCCTACAGATCAATGATCCTTAAAGGATAAGTTGCCATTTTTGTATGTAAAGTTTAACACTACTATGCATCTTATGTCATTAACAATGTAATGAAGAGGTTGCTGTTTCAGAATAAACCGTATTCTGTTTTGGATAATACTGTGCACTTCTAGTTAGCCCTCTGCACTTTAACTGCATTATTTAACATTTGCACACTAGAAATCATAAACTTGCACATGACAACTTCTACAAATTTGCTGGTTTGAACGTTTTGACGGTTTATGTGTGTGACTGTCTTGCAGGCGCTTGAGCAACTGCTTAGATAATGATAGCCCACGATGATTACCATGCAGCTTAGAAAGTGTGTGTAAATGTATTTGTGCATTTTTCTTTTTTTGTAGTAAGTGGGAGTGCTAATTTTAGTGCAAAGTGGATTTGTGGGGGCAGGGGTGTGGTTAAACAGTCCACACAATTACCTCCTACCTTATTTCACGGAACACTTTTCCTTGAGTTTGTTGGAAAAAGTCAGGAGGTAAAGGAAAGGTGTAGGAAATTGAAGGAGGGCTTCTAGCAGTACTGTCTGCAGTGCTGAAACTACAATATCCAAAATGCACTTCTTAATTCACCCGCATGTGTTCTTTACCATGTCGTTTCATGCAGGACTTATAACCTAAAAAAATTTAACTACATCTTATTTTCTTAGTTCATTGCTGGATGGAGATGCAACACTCCAAACCTTCTGGCTCCTTGTTCACTTATCCTGGCTGACATAAAGCTACACGAAGATCCAAAAGTGTGGCAGTACAGACACTGCTAATGCAAACCGAACTGTTGTGAACCTTAAAGACCTAAACAGCTCAATCTTATATAAATAAACCTGTTCTTCATGTGAGGTAATTCCCACCAAAACATACCTAGAAGCAGATTTTATCACAGTAGCAATCTTATTAGTTTGGGGGTGATAAACAGCCTGTTGTTGAAAATTCAAAAGAAACTGGTAATGGAAATGGACATATTTTAATATTTACATGATCTGTGCCAGGTTGTCACTTTTCTTAACTGTTTTCATGATGATCGTACGATTCATCCCTATGAGATTAACTCAGAAGCTTGGTCTAATCTATCCTACGCCAAACACATGAAGCACTGAAGCACCTTTCCTTAGTATTCAGAGAATTTGAGTAGCTCTTATTAAAAGCTGCCTCACAGATGCAGATACGTCAGGGTTACTTCCCTCATGCAAGAGCGCTGCTAAGCAAATCTGACTATTCAGCTGCACCCTAGCATTCATGCACCTGTTTTTCTTTTCCTTGGTCCTTTTCAGTGTCCCCTGGGGGTCTGAACACTAAAGGTTTCAGTCAGCCAATGGCACAGTGGCTTCATAGTGTTATGGAGGTCACTATGCTATTGATTAAGCAACTCTTCCACACCATTGTTTCCTTTTGTTTTTTTCAGTGGCCTAACTGGGATTTTGGGATTATGTTTTTTATTATAGTACAAAAAATTCATTTGCCATAGTACTAGAAAAGAGGAGCAGGAGCAGCGACGTGTAAAAGCCTGGCTGATGCCCAGTTAGAGTATTGTCCTCGTGTAGCCAAAGGTGCTTCTGTTGAATTGAGTTCTGGTGATTGTGGAAACCAAATAAGTACACTAAACTCATGTTCAAGAAACCAGCTGGAGATGATCTGAGCTTTGTGCCATGGCACAAGATTATTATATGCTCATGTTACTTGAGCCAAATTCTGACCGTACCACCCAAATACTGAAGCAGAAAATTGAGACTTGTGCTTTTCCGGTCTTCTTTTGTTGAATTTTAACGAGCCTTTGTGAATTCCAGTCTCAGCTTGCTGTTCTTAGCCGATGGGAGTGGCACCCAGTGTGGTCTGCTGCTGCTGCAGTCCATCTGCTATGCATTCAAAGTTGCTTATCTACATACCTTGGTTGTAATGAGTGGCAATTTGAGTTATTCTTGCCCGACTATTAGCTCAAAGCAGACTGACCATACTCCTTTTACCTCTGGCGTCAACAAAGAAAACTGCTGCTCACTGGATATTTTCTCCTTTTTGCACAATTCTCTGTAAACCCCAGAGATGGCTGTGTGTGAAAATCCCAGATCAGCAGTTTCTGAAATATTCAGAGCAGCCCATCTGGCACCAACAACCACACAGTGTTAGAAGTCATTCAAATAATCTTTCTCCTCCCATTCTGATGGTCAGTTTGAACTTCAGCAGGTCGACGTCTACCTACCATGTTACGGTCTGATAAGATATTTGCTTTACCAAGCAGGTGAATAGGTGTACCCAATAAAGT